ACAGCTGACACCCTAACCCTAACTTTCAGTTGGTGATGTTTTATATAAATGTGAAACCGCAAAGGATATATCCTGGAATGCTCAGAATGTATTTTAAATGTGCAAAAATTAAAGAGGAAATGCATTGTGACGTAATTGTAAGATGCTTTTCAAGACACTTATCTTGCAGACACGAGTCTGGCTAGGTCAACCAGCTGGTAAATAAAAAGCTTGTTTTCCTCAAGTTCGTGTCCGGCGTTTTCCTGGAAATCCCAAGGTTGCCATTACAATTACTCACAGGGGGATCAAGGAACTGGTGCCTGTTTGAGAGCCCCATAAATGTGTTTGGGCTGCACTAGAGCCCTTCGCCATCTCTTAAAGTTGGTATTGAGTTCGTAGCTGTGAGTTTGTCCACCATACCATTTATAAACGTACCTTGTGAAACAAGTGGTTACTCCCTACCAGGGGCGGACTGACCATTCGAGCACTCGGGCACTGCTCGAGGGCCCGGGGTCAGTAGGGGGCCCCATGAAATGCACCTAGTACCTTTTTTATAGGCTTTTTTGGGTGTGTTTTGATTTGAGCAAGGACACAAGGGCCCCATGATCCCCTATTGCCCGGGGGCCCCATGAATTGTCAGTCCGCCCCTGCTCCCTACCTCCCCCTCATACCATATACTGGTTTTTGCATGGCTTGTCCCAAGCATACAAATAAGATCTAAAGAATGGTGGCTACACACAAGTTCAATCACGTAATACTTTACAGCTCAAAACACACACTCTTCTCTTGGAGGCATTCCACCCTGAAGAGCAGTTTTTTGGAGAGAAGTATGTTGACATCTGCATGGGTTGTGCTGACAATACATTTTATTGTGGGGTAAGAGCTTGCAGTGCAGTTGCCGTTCTTTTGGATCTTGTGTATATGTAGACAGTAATAGAGAAAACAACATCGGAGGTAGAACACTAGAGTGGGGGCACTTGCAGATGGCATGTACTCTGCAGGACACCGTAGTTCCCCTCACTGACCACTGCCATGAAAGACACAGCAGCCAGCAAATGAACCACAATGCCCAGCAGAGGACACACCATCCTACACATTTTGAGGTGTTGGCTAGAGGTGCACCGAAACCTCAATTTCCACCAGCAGCAAGGACTGGTATGTACATGTTACAGGGCCGGTTCACACTAAAGGCTACCTTTTAGAAGCAATTGCTTGATTTACTCTACAGCTACTTAAATATCCCATCCTTCCATTCCATTTGACCACAGAGAACAAGGTACCAGGCACCTACAGGGGAGTGTCATAGGGGCCCTGCCGATTATTGATTTCTGCTCAATCCTCTCATTAATGTCCCCAATTATTGATTCCCTCATTAATCCCTTGTGGCCAGAGGAAACCCATCCTCATTTAATGTCCCACTCTCGTGTGCCAAATGTTCCCGAATTCAATTAACGTATCTCCTTTCCTGGCATCCTGCTTTATGGCCCCAAAATGCTGCTTTATAGCCCAAACTCAATTAATGTGTCTCCTTTCCTGACATCCTGCTTTATGTCCCCAAAATGCTGCTTTGTAGCCCAAATTTAATTAACGTATCTCCTTTCTTGGCATCCTGCTTTATGGCCCCAAAATGCAGCCTTAGTGTCTCCTCCGTGTTGTCCTGCCACCAGAGATAGCGAGATTCGCACCTCTCCACAGATAGGTGGGAACCTCCTACGGGGATGTTCCCGGCCAGGGCGTCAGACTGATGCCTCCCGGACCTGTCATCCGCAGAGCGGGCACGAAAAGTTCCCACGCTTGCAGATGACCCTGGACAAAGGTCGCGCTCACGAGAAGCGCGGCCCGTGTCCAGGGGGTGTGCCTCGTTGCCGAGCGACGAGGCACGCCGACCCCAGCCCGGCCCACAGTTGCCAATACAACCGGAGAGCATCCCGCATCAGCTTAAGAAGGCTGATGCTGGGCTCTCCGGCCGTTCCATTCCATTTCGCTGTGCAGTCATGGAGGGAGCTCAGCTATGGCGGGACCCTCATGACCAGACTCTGCTGAGACCCCCAAGCCTAGAGGGGAGATCGCCGGCCAGCCATCTGAGACCCCAGCTAAGGGGATTGCCTGCCAGCCACCTGAGACCTCAGTTAAGGGGATTGCCTGCAAGCCACCTCAGACCCCAGCTAAGGGGATTGCCTGCCAGCCACCTGAGATCCCAGCTAAGGGGATTGCCGGCCAGCCACCTGAGACCCCAGCTAAGTGGATTGCCTGCCAGCCACCTGAGACCCCAGCTAAGGGGATTGCCTGCCAGCCACCTGAGACCCCAGGTAAGGGGATTGCCTGCCAGCCACCGGAGACCCCAGCTAAGGGGATTGCCTGCCAGCTGCCTGAGACCCCCAAGCCAAGGGGGAGTGCCTGCCTGTGGCCTGAGACCCCCAAGCCAAGGGAGATTGCCTGCCTGCTGCCTGAGACCCAGAATCTAGGGGAGAGACCGCCTGTCAGCTGCCAGAGACCCCCAAGCCTAGGAGAGGGACTACTCGCCTCCTCCGGACCCCAACAGGTACCTGTGTCCTATTACCTTACCCCTGGGAGACCGTGCACCCTGTCAGATCCGTGAGCGTATGTCTCCCCTTGTTTTACCTGAACTGTTCCTGTGATGACCCCTTGCCCCTTGTTGGATTATAATCTGCCACAGAGACTTTTCCTTTTCCCTTGGTGCTGGACTATAAGAGCTTTAGCCTCCTTCTTGCTGTCCCCCCTAGTGGCGAGACTACCCTCCCGGCAATCCCCCCTTTGAGTGACTGTACTTTTTTGTCTCAATAAAGCTATGTGTGTTTGCCATCTACTCTGTGTGTTCTGTCCTGCCTACCCTCCGTCACAGGGAGGATGAGATTTTTTTTTTTCCTCCCTCTTATCATGCAGTGCTTTGTTTGGATGATCATTCGCCAGCTGTGATTGCTCTCGTGTTAAGCAGGCCATACATGGGTCAAATTCCGAACAATTTCTTGATCGAAAATCAAAAACATCATTCTGTAATCCATTGGTGCCACCAATAATTTCGAAAATCGGTCGTTTTTCACACATTTTTCAGCGTGCCCGATAAACGAAATGGGAAGGAACCACGAAAATCGTCCGGTGCCATTGCCCTACTAACAGAGCGAAAATCGGCTGATTATTCTTAGGTCCGATTTTCGAACGAAAAATCGTTCGAAAATCGACCCATGTATGGCCGACCTTAATCCTGGACTTCTGACCAGAGTAATTTCAGAGAAGTAAGGCCGGTCATACATGGGTCGATTTTCGTTCGAAAATCGGACCTAAGAATAATCAGATGATTTTCGCTCTGTTAGTGGGGCAATGGCACCAGCCAATTTTCGTGGTTCCTCCCCATTTTGGGCATGCTGGAAAATTTGTGAAAAACCACAGATTTTCAAAGTCATTGGTGGCACCATCGGATTACAAAGAACGATGTTTTTGATTGAAAAATAATTCGGAATTCGACCCATGTATGGCCTGCTTGGTTTACATCTACCCTAGGTTCACACCTAAGCATTTTCTGCAGCATTTTGCAGAAATGCAGTACAGTCCGCTTAACATGATCTCCTATGGGACATGTTCACATCTGTGCATTTTCACCCGGTGCATTTTTTTTAAAGGGTCAGGGACTTTTTGCATTTTTGGCTCTAAAGACTTCAATGGAAACGCTGCAGAAAAGTATGTATTGCGTTTTTGCTGCTTTTAGCATTTTAAATTTGCCTAGCAACAAGAAAAATGAAAAATAATTTAAAATAAAAACATATAAAAAATGAGGCAAAAACGCAGGTGCAAAAATGCAACGCAAAACGCAATGCAGAAATGACTCAAACGCAACCTGCATAGGTGTGAACCTAGCCTTAAGGGGACCTGCTTTGCTCTACATGGACAAAGCATAGCATTCAATGTCAGCAACCCAATATTGGTTGGTAACAAGCAGCCAGTATGGCAGAGAAGCTCAAACTTGGCCATTCAATTCCCAGACACTTTTTTTTTTCTGTAAACGGCTGGGTATGTCTGTCACAGTGGTTAGAACAGCTAGACATAGTAACATTCCTTTTTTTATATTCTTGGACAGTGACTTGTGCCAGAACTCAGTTCTTTAATGTTAACTTACATAGTTAGCCTGGCTGAAAAAAGACGAAAAGTCCATCCAGTTCAACCATTAACAAAAAAAAAAAAAAAAAAAAATTATAATCCTATACCCACAGTTGATCCAGAGGAAGGTAAAAAAAACCCAGCAAAGCATGAATCAATTTGCTCCTGCAGGGAAAAAAAATTCCTTCCTGATCCCCCGAGAGGCAATCGGATATTCCCTGGATCAATGTTACCTATAAATGTTATATCTGATTATATTCTGTGTATCTAAGAAAGGATCCAGGCCTTTTTTAAAGAAATCCACTTCAACTTGATAACTTATTTTTTAGGTGGAAAGCATCGTGAATGTGCTGGCCAGAAGAACCTTAAGAAAACTCAAGATCAAAACAAGGGTAAATGCAAAGATGACAGTGTGTCTGCAGCACAGAGAAAGCAGAGGTATGTATCTTTCATATGTCTGTAGCATCACATCACAAAGTTAGAGCATCTACAAACTATAGTTTATATATTGGAATATACGCAGCTTTTACTTTGACTGCCTAACACATTTCTTGAGGTGCTAAAATGCCAGGGCATTACACCCCCCCCCCCCCCCAAATTACCCTTCTGGAAAGTAGACACATCAAGGAATTTGCTGAGAGGAATGTTAAGTCCATGGAAGACTTTATTTTTTTTTGCCACAAATTTTTGGAAAATTATTATTTTTTTCTTACAGAAAGTTCTCACCTAACCACTAAGGGACTGCCCGCGGTACATATACTGCTACAAGGCGGCCCCTGTGCACAGGATCACGTATATAAACGCATGCGGCACAGATCGCGGCCACAAGTGTCAGTCACTGGGTCCCGGCCAGTGACTACCCGCCAGAGCCTGGTGATTGCCGGCAAACACTGAGGGAGGAAGGCTGCATTGTTTTCAATGGAGCTATCCTCCCTTTCATCTTTCAGCACACAGTTCCGGGATCGCTGGACCCAGCCTTCCGGAACAGTGTGTAACAGAGAGGTACACACCCCCTCCCCCTAGTAAAACACTCCCCTCACACAGTTAACCCTTTCATTGTATCCAAAAGGTAACCCCTTCCTCCTCAGTGCCATTAGTACAGTGTCAGTGTTTTTTTTTTGCACTGATCCATGTATTGGTGTCACTGGGGATGTCAGTGACCCCAAGTCAGTTCCCCCCAGTGTCAGAATGTCCACTGCAGTCCTGCCATAAGCCGCTGATCGCTGTCATAAGTCGCTGATTGCCACCATAAGTCGCTGATTGCCGCCATAAGTCGCTGATTGCCACTATAAGTTGCTGATCGCCACTATTATTAGTATAAAAAAAATTCTAGTATCTATACCGCCATTTGTAAACGCTATAACTTTCACGTAAACCAATGAATTTACACGTATTGGGATTTTTTGTTAGCAAAGGCATGTCGCAGAATACATTTTAGCTGAAAATTATGACGAAATTTGATTTTTACATTTTATTACTGGACATGTTTTTAAGCAAAAAGTCCAAAATATTATTTTTTTCCCAAAATTGTTGATCTTTTTTTTATATCGCAAAAAATAAAAAACATACAGGCGATCAAATACCACCATAAGAAAGCACAATGTGTGGGGAAAAAGGATGTAAATTTCATTTTGGTGCAGTGTTGCATGACCGTGCAATTGTCAGTTAAAGTAACGCAGCGCTGTAACACAAACTGCTTATGTAGCCGCTTCCTGACCACCCTATAGCAGAAATACTGCTACAGGGCGGCACAGGTGTGCAAAATCACATATATATACGTGATTCATGCTCCCGTGGTATTCACTCCCCTCCCAGATAGCGTCAGATTGCCCGTCAGTACACCAGTAATCACATCTAACCCCTTGATTGCCAGGAACGCTCATACACAATAAACCTCCATTGCTAGTATAGTGTCTGAACAATATATTTAATCAGATCAGCATTATACCAGCGTTTAGCCCCTACGCTTACCCCCCCCTTTCTCCTTTCTCCCACAGCAAGTGCAGTGCCAGTAGGTCACTGTCACTTGATATATTGCACACAAAACCGCAGTGTTGGCAGAATCAGGCCTGATCTCTGTTAACACTTGCCGGTAAATTTTGATGACTCTCATATGCAGCAGAGTGCCAGCACTAGTGCCACGCTACCTTTTGGTGAACTGGCAGGCACCAGCGGTCTAGTATATCCTGATCTTTCACATACCTCTTAGATTGTAAGCTCCCAGGATCAGGCCCTCCTAACCCTCTTGTATTGAACTGTATTGTCTCCCGTTATATTGTAAAGCGCTGAGCAAACTGTTGGCACTGTACAAATCCTGTATTATAATAATAATAATACCAGCACTGCAGTATCACTTGCTGATGTGGTGAGTCCCATAAGTGCAGTACAAGCTGGTGCGGTGGTAAGCACAAATAGTGTTCCTGCAACCACCAAGAATTCGCACACAGGCCCGTAGAGCCCCTAGTATCCTTCTGGATGTGCTTGCAAATCCCAATTGGCAGCCCACAAATTCTGCAGCACCTGTACTTCCCCCATTCACTGCCCAACCCGGAATTCAGGTGGAAACAGCAGATTTAACTACTCCCCTTGATTTTTTTGGAGCTGTTTTTCATGGAAGATCTGCATGCATTGATTGTGGATCAAAGCATTTTATATGCACAACAATGTATCGCCGTCGACCCAAATTCAAACCTTGCCAGAGCATGCGCATGGAAACTCATTACGGTTTCTGAATTTATAATTTTTTTGGGCCTAACCCTCAACATGGGCATTACTAAAAAAAATGAATTGTGGTTGTATTGGTCCAAAGACCCGATTCTTCATATGCCCGTGTTCTCTGCTGCCATAGCCAGGCATAGATATAAGAGTATAATGTGTTTTATGCATTTCAATGACAATATACTCTGTCATCCTCGAGCTGACCCTGAATTTGACCGGCTACAGAAAATTCAGCCCCTTTTAAATCACCTTAACCAAAAATTAGCAGATGTCTATACTCCCCAGCAAAAAATCTGCGTTGATGAGTCCCTCATTAATTTTTCTGGCCACCTTGCATTCAAACAGTTTCTCCCCTGCAAGTGTGCCAGATATGGGGCCAAGATGTAGAAGACCTGTAAGAGGACAACAGGCTATACTTATAAGTTTAGGATTTACGAGGGAAAAGATAGTCACGTGGAGCCCCCTGGATACCCAGACTACATGGGTAGTAGTGACAAGATAGTTTGGGACTTGGTGTCATCCTTTTTCCATATGGGGTACCACTTATACGTGGACAATTTTTATTTAAGCGTGCCACTATTTAGACATTTGTACAATCTTGGAACTGGCGCTTGTGGCACAGTGTGACCTAATGTGTGCCCAACATTAGAAGTGGGTGGATGCAGGGCGGTATATTTTAATGGTGGGCATACTACACATTTTTTTTTTCTGGCAGAGATTTCTTCTCTTTTATTTATTCAGTCCACAGGCTGCATACAAAAAAAAAAAAAAGAACATAGCATATATACCCAAAAAGGACCAGCGACATGCTGGTACATCACTGGACTTTGAATGGTTTTACCAGGATGATGCCTACATCATCATTTTTTTCAGCTGGCGATCGGCTTTCATGTAAAAGCAATCCTAGTGACTAATTAGCTGCAGGATTGCTTTTACAAGCAGCAGGAGATGATGCCCCCCTTCCCCCGCTGCCTTCCACGGCCTTCTCGGGCAGCCCCGTGCCATCGGGGGAATCTGAGAATGCAGTTCTGCCAGCTGACCATAGAGCTGATTGGAGACCAGAATAGTGCCAATCATCTCTATAGCCTAAGAAATCAGCAGCTACAAGCATTTCATCACTTCAGTTTTGCAGGATATAAACAGCGCCATTTGTAAATTGGGAAAGCATCTGATCACACCGATCTTGGTTTGATTAGATAATGTAAGGGCAGAGGAGATATCTAGAGTTTGATAGACCTCAGATTTCTCAAAAAAGAATATATGACAATGCCTATTGAAGTTATAGGGGATATTTGCATTCCCTGTGATAGCATTAAAAGTGATAGAAAAAAAATTAAAGGAACAGTGTAAAAATAATTTAAAAAATCAAAATAACTTAAAATAAAAGTACCCTCACCCCCCTGCGTACCTGCGCACCTGTTTTCGGAAAAAAAAATTGGATTTCAGGCTCCTGTATGTGGCTAGGCTCCCAAAAAGTCTCACACATGTGGTATCCCCATACTCAGTAGAAGTAGCAGAATGTATTTTGGGGTGTAATTCCACATATACCCATGGCTTGTGCGAGAAATATTAATTTAAATGACAACTTTGTGTAAAAAAAAAAGTTTTTGTCATTTTCCAGAAACTTGTGGAAAAAAAAAAATAAATCTTCCATGGACTCAATATGCCTTGCATCAGATAGCTTAGGGTGTCTACGTTCCGAAAGGGGGTCATTTGGGGTGTTTGTACTATCCTGGTATTTCAGCACCTCAAGAAATGTGATGGGCAGTCAGAAAGTAAAAGCTGTGTAAATTCCATTATCTATACCATAGTTTGTAGACGCTATAACTTTCACACAAAGCAAAAAAAATATATAATTACTGGGATTTGTTTAACCAAAACATGTAGCAGAATACATTTTGGCCTAAATTTAGGAAAGTTTAGTTTTTTTGGATATTTTTTGTGACAGAAATGAGAAAATATATTTTTTTTTAAAATGTTTTTTCTCAAAAATTTTTTTTGATAGCTCCAAAAATAAAAAGCGCACAGGTGATCAAATACCACCAAAAGAAAGCTCTATTTTGTGTGAAAAATAGGACATAAATTTCATTTATGTTCAGCATTTCATAACCGTGCAATTTTCCGGTAAACTAGTGCAGCGCTGTATAGCAAAAAAATGGCGTAAATTGCGGCATCTATACCATAGTTTATAGACGGTATAACTTTCACACAAAGCAATCAATATACACTTATTGGGATTTTTTTTTACCAAAGACATGTAACAGAATACATTTTGGCCTAAATTTATAACTAACTTTGAGTTTACTATATATTTTTTATAGCTGAAAGTAGAAAAATATAGTTTTTCTCCAAAATTTTCGTTTTTTTTTTTTTTTTTACGCAAAAAATAAAAAGCGCACAGGTGATCAAATACCACCGAAAGCTCTATTTGTGTGAAAAAAGGACGTAAATTTCATTTATGTACAGCATTGCATGACCGCGCAATTATCAGTTGAATTAGTGCAGTGCCGAATAGCAAAAAAGAGGCCTGGTCAGGAAGGGGGGTAAATCCTCAGGAGTGCAAGTGGTTATTATTGTTATTATTATTATTATTATTAATAATAATAATAATAATAATAATAATAATAATAATAATAATTAACCACTTGCCCCCCTGAGGAGTTACCCTCCTTCCTAACCAGGCCATTTTTTGCATTACAGTGCTGTGTTACTTTAACTGATGATTGCGCAGTCATGTAACGTTGCAATAGAAATTTACGTCCTTTTTTTCCCACAAATAGAGCTTTTTTTCTGTGGTATTTCTGCTATAGGGTGGTTGGGAAGTGTTTATTAATTCTCAGTGAAAATACATTACACTGACCCTTTAAGAGGAGAATATAGTACATCTGTACATCAGAGGGCGCTGTAGATACACGACTGCCCTGCTGGCCACCTCCGCAGCTCTATGGTACTGAAGTAGTACGGATGTCTGTGCGGGCCAAGTGAAGACGTAGTGTGTGTGCGGGCGGCGTGCCTATGGCAGGTCTGGAGGAAGGTAGCTCGGTGCTGTTCAGGCGAGGAGCCGGCCAGGTAGACATGTCTGTATGGGGGGGGGGGGGGCTGTCTTAGGGTCCTATCCGAGTTTCCCAGGTGGCGGCCGGTCACCCTGCGGGGTCATTCCCGGCTTCCCCCTGCACATACTATACAGTGCAGCCTCCATCCGGGGCCTGGGGTCTCTGTGCTGCTGGGGAATACAAGCCTGTGCCCAGGGGCTCCTCCATAGGCCGCCTGTCAGTGAGTGTGCTGAGTCCCTGTGACAGGCCCGGATGTGGGGGTCAGGCCATTGTGTCCATATATACTGTACTAGGAGCTCCTCGTTATGTCAGCTCACATGATCCCATGTACTCAGCTGTGTGAGATTGAGGACTTCCAGCTCCAGCATTGTTTGCATAGTACACTGGTCCAGCTTGGATCAATGTAAGTGTATAGACTGATCAACCATAACTTTATGATCACTGACTTGTGAATAACAGTGATTATCTTGTTACAATAACATCTGAAAGTGGGTGAGATATGTTTGGCAGCACGTAAACATGTTGTCTCTGAAGTTGATGTGTTGAAAGCCGCAACAATGGGCATGGCAGTTTGTATATTCACAGACCGGTCAGGGTGCCCACGTTGACCCGTGTCCACAGGCATCTACGATGGGCATGTGAGCATCAGAACTGGACTATGGAGTAATAGAAGAAGGTGACCTGATCACTTTTTTGTAACATCAGCTGGATGGCCGGGAGTGTGAGCAATGCTAACCCGGGGAAGAGATGATACCAGGATGTAGTATGGGAAGAAGACAAGCCGGGGGAGGCAGTGTGATGCTTCGGGCAATGTTCTGCTGGGAAACCTTGGGTCTGCCATTCATGTGGATGTTACTTGAGATGTACCACCTACCTAAACATTGTTGGTGACCAAGTACACCCCTGATGACAGTGGCCTTTTTCAGCAGGATAATGCACCCTAGAAAATATCTCTCTTATTTTCAGTCTTCAAGTAATGTCCAAATACGCATATACCTCAAAAACCAAAAAAAAAAAACCTCAACATAGTGTATTATCCTTCTATCAAAAGGAAAATCGTGCCATACATAGTGAGTCACATCAAACACTAAACTTGTGCATGTGAGGGAAAAAAAAAAATAAATATATATATATATATATATATCTTAGAGTGTTTTTCACACTTGATCTGTGAGCACTACAACAAACAATAGTGATCCACTCAAGTGACAAGTGCTATCATACTCTGTGACAACTTGGTGTTATTATTTAACCCACTGCACAAAACAAACAGCACTCCAACTCGTGTAGTAGTGGATAATTACCCCAATAATGTTTCAAACAAACTTTGTCAAACATATAAGAGATGGCATCAAACTCCCAGGTCCAGATCAATCCAGGTATTCCTCCTCCACTCTCCTCATAAATAAATTGGCAATTAGAGAAGGTACCATAGAGTATAAAAATGTATTTGGCAACTTGCATTAAAATTTGCAGATATCAGCTCCCCATCACAGAGACACATCTACAGATCACATCATATAAGGGAACTTCCGCATGTTCCCACTTCCAAAATGGCCACGGCTGCACTTCCGGAAAACGTCAGTCATCACGTGTCGCTGATGCGTTTCGTCACTTCCTGGACTTTTTCTGAAGGGATCCAGGAAGTGACGAAACGCGTCAGTGACACGTGACGTCTGACGTTTTCCGGAAGTGCAGCCACGGCCATTTTGGAAGTGGGAACATGCGGAGGTTCCCTTATATAATGTGATCTGTAGATGTGTCTCTGTGATGGGGAGCTGATATCTGCAAATTTTAATGTAAGCTGCCAAATACATTTTTATACTCTATGGTACCTTCTCTAATTGCCAATTTATTTATGAGGAGAGTGGAGGAGGAATTCCAGGATTGATCTGGACCTGGGAGTTTGATGCCATCTCTTATATGTTTGAAACATTATTGGGGTAATTATCCACTACTACACGAGTTGGAGTGCTGTTTGTTTTGTGCAGTGGGTTAAATAATAACACCAAGTTGTCACAGAGTATGATAGCACTTGTCACTTGAGTGGATCACTATTGTTTGTTGTAGTGCTCACAGATAGTGTTTTTCATATATATATATATTATATATATATATATATATATATATATATATATATATATATATATATATATTAAATTTATTTTATTTTTTTTTTTCCTCACATGTACAAGTTTAGTGTTTGATGTGACTCACTATGTATGGCACGATTTTCCTTTTGATATAATGATAATACACTATGTTGAGTTTTTTTTTGGTTTTTGAGGTATATGAATATTTGGACATTACTTGAAGATTGAAAATAAGAGAGATATTTTCTTGGAAGAAAAGAGGACTATAGTATTTTGGATAAGGAGGATATTTATTTATATCCATTTTTATTTTATTTATATTGATGATCATTCTTTTCAATGTATTAATATAATTTGGGAAGGGAAAAAGACTTTATAATTTATATTTTTTGTTAGCTTTTAAGGGTGAAAGTGAATGTTTTTCCTTGGGTATATTTTAGTAATTTAGAATTAGAGTGTGCTAATTTAGCTACTTAAGGATAATGCACCCTGCCACAATGCAAAATGAGCATTGGCCTCCAAATTCTCTAGATCTCAGTCCAATCAAGCATCTGTGGGATGTGCTGGGGAAAACAAGTCTAATGTATGGATCCTATTGACAACTTGGTGCCAGATACCGTACCGTACCATACCATACCATACCATACCATACCATATCTTCAGAGGTCTAATGGAATTCATTCCTTGATGGGTCAGGGCTGTTTTGGCAGCAAACAGGGGACCTACCCAATATTAGGTGAAAGGTCATAAAGTTATGGCTGATGGATGTTTGTGCCATGTTGATCTACCAAAATCCAGTGCGCTCTTGACTATAGTGAGCTGACAAAGCTGCACTGAATTCCCAAACCCAAATGTTGGTTCTCCCCACTTGGACCACAGAACACCTCACTATATGTTCTAGGAAATGAGGGAGAGTTGTTTTGCAATCCAGCAGGTGAAAACAGAGCTGACAACAACAGCTTGGTAGTGGTAAACTGAAATTAAAATTCTGGTGCCGAAACGGAAAATCCAGAAACGGACATTTTTTAAAAATGTTTTTTAAATTAATGTGGCTGGAAATTTTGCATATAGGTCAATGGGGATGCGATTGTGCATGAAAGTGTATGGGACGTGATTTTGCATTGAAGTCAACGGCGACACGACTTTGCATGAAAGTCTGAGACGTGATTTTGCATTGAAGTCACTAGGGGTGTTTTTGCATGAAAGTCAATGAGGCACAGAGGCAGCATTGTCGGCTTACTAATGGCAGTTAGAAGCTCATTGGATTCTGACAGGTTACCCACTTCCTGACCGCCTTATAGCAGAACTACTGCTACAGGGTTGCGCAAAATCACGTGTATGTATGTATGTATGTGATTTTTGTATTTCTGGGTAGGGGGCTGCCACTGGATCACCAAGGAACAGTGACAGGGGAGAGACCTGTGTAAACAACACAGGTCTCTCTCCTGCCAGCAGTAACATGCTGATGTGTATTTCTATACACAGCAGCATATTTCTCTAGTAAAGCACACACAGTAAAACAGCCCACAGTTAACCCTTTGATCACCCCACATGTTAAGCCCTTCCTCCTACCCAGTGCCATTAGTACAGTGTCCGTTCTTTGTATTAGCACTGATCACAATATTAGTGTGTCATTGGGATGTCTGTTGTCCCCCCCCCCCCCCCCCATGTCAGAATGCCCACTGCAGTCCCGCTATAAGTCGCTATTACAGTGTATATACTGCCATTTGTAAACGCTATAAATTTCACGTAAACCAATTAATTTACATGTATTGGGATTTTTTTCAGCAAAGACATATAGCAGAATACATTTGACAAAATTAAATTTTTTTTAATTTCAGCGGATATATTTTATAGCAAAAAGTCAAATACCACCAAAAGAAAGCTCTATTTATGGGGGAAAAAGGGCATACATTTAATTTGGATGCAGCATTGCATGACCGCGCAATTGTCAGTTAATCACCTCCCATCCGGCCGTTGTATATAGACGGCCGGACAGTGGCAGTGCAGGGGCGGGTGGCCGTTTATAAACTGCCTCCCCGCCCCCTGCTTGTGCGCACTCCCGCGGAGCGTAAAGCACCGTGCTCCAGTGCCCGCTGTGTCCTCTGGACACAGTGGAACACCGATCGTCGTATGGGACCTCTGTGCGAGGTCCTGATCATGTGATCACTGATTGGCAGTGATCACATGCAGAGTAGTAAGCAAGATGTCACTTGTGACATCATTGCTCACTACGTATGAAATCTGTAAATGATCGCAGAGGTCACATGGTACAAGGCTATTCACAACAGCCTTGTACCATGTGCAAGCTGTGACCAATCACAGCTCACACAGTATTTCTCAATGGCTGCAAGAATGGCTGCAAGGAAATGATTGCTTTTACAGCCTTTATGGGTGTAAAAGCAATCCGTGTAAAAAAAAAAAAAAAAAAAAAATCTTTATCACCCCCCCACAAGTAGTACAGTGTCACCATGGTGACACTGTACTGCTAGGGTGACAGTAGGTAAAAAAAAAACATGAATAATAATAAAAAAAAATTAAGGTAAAAATATAAATTAAAAAATAAAATAATAATTTTTGGTTATAAACTAATTTGGGTTATTTTTTTTTTTCACTAAAAAGATAAGTGAATAAAATTTGGCCAAGATTTATGATGAAATATTATTTGTTTCCAAAATTTTATAGGAAAAACACTTTTTTCTAAATTTTTAGACTTTCATTTATATAGCAAAAAAAATAAAAATCCCAGTGGTGAATAAATACCACAAAAATAAAGCTTTATCTGTCTCAAAAAAATGTAAAAAATTAATATGGGTACAGTCTTGCATGACTGCGCAATTGTCATTCAAAGTGTGATAGCACTGAAAGCTGAAAATTGGCCTGGACAGGAAGGGGGTGAAAGTGTCCGGACTGAAGTGGTTAAAGTAACCCAACTCCATATCGCCAAAAAAAATGGCTTGTTCAGGAAGGGGGGGGGTAAAGGGGTAAATCCTCTGGAGAGCAAGTGGTTAACAGGACTTTTTCTGTGCTTGCAGTATGTTAGAGATAAAAAATTAGAAAATGCACAAATATACTGAATATGTTTAACACACATACACAATAGTGATAGGACTGTTTATTGGTTCTTATAATACCTTTTAATTATGTTAAAGAAAAAAAGTTGATCTAATGTTTACAGTTTGGAAAAATGTACTGCGCTTGTGCTGTTTTTAATAGAAATCTTTGAAGTTGATATTCTCAAAACTTCAATGAAAAAAAACCTATCTGATCACTGTTTAGATTCCAGCAGGACTGTATCTGCTATCAGATTCCAAAATGAGATCGGATGGACGGAAGCGTGCTTTGGGCAGGTCACTAGTAGCGTGTTTATCTTTGCACTTGCAGATCTGAAAATATTTTGAGCTATGAAATCCTTGCAGATTTAAGCGGCACTACAGTGCCTTGTAAAAGTGTTTATACCCCTTGAAATTTTTCCATATTTTGTCATGTTACAGCTCAAAATGTAAATTAATTTTATTGGGATTTTATGTGATAGACCAACACAAAGTGGCACATAATTGTGAAGTGGAAGGAAAATGATAAATGGTTTTCAAAACGTTTTACAAATATCTGAAAATTGAGGAGTGCGTTTGTATTCAGCCCCGTTTTACTCTGATACCCCTAACTAAAATCTAGTGGAACCAGTTGCCTTCACAAGTCACCTAATTAGTAGAGTCCACCTGTTTGTAATTTAATCTCAGTATAAATACAGCTGCTCTGTGAAGCCCTCAGAGGTTTGTTAGATAATATTAGTGAACAAACAGCATCATGAAGGCCAAGAAACACACCAGACAGCTCAGGGATAAAGTTGTGCAGAAATTTAAAGCAGGGTTAGGTCAGAGGAGATCAAAATTGAACTTTCTGGCCTAAAAGCAAAACGCAATGTGTGGTGGAAAACTAACACTGCACATCACCCTGAACACACCATCCCCACCATGAAACATGGCGGTGGCAGCATCATGTTGTAGGGATGCTTTTCTTCAGCAGGGACAGGGAAGCTGGTCAGAGTTGATGGGAAGATGGATGGGGCCAAATACAGGGCAATCTTAGAAGAAAACCTTCTAGAGTCTGCTAAAGACTTGAGACTGGGGTGGAGGTTCACCTTCCAGCAGGACAACGACCCTAAACATACAGCCAGAACTACAATGGAATGGTTTAGGTCAAAGCATATTCATGTGTTAGAATGGCCCAGTCAAAGTCCAGACCTAAATCCAATTGAGATTCTGTGGCAAGACTTGAAAATTGCTGTTCACAGACACTCCATCCAATATGACAGAGGTTGAGCTATTTTGCAAAGAAGAATCTGCCAAAATGTCACTCTCTAGATGTGCAGAGCAGCCAAAGGTGGTTCTACAAAGCATTGACTCGGGGTCTATCACATAAAATCCCAATAAAATACATTTAAGTTTTTGGTTGTAACATTACAAAATGTGGAAAAATTCAAGGGGTATGAATACACAGGCACTGTATAGTCTCCTTCACTTCAGTGATGGTGTCCCTCGCTGGCTGGTGACATATTCAGCCATTCTTCTTTCGGCTTCTAATGTTTGGTCATCTTTATAGGCCAGGCCTGGATGACGTCACTCCTGTGAGTGTGCAGGAGTTCATTTATCTCAGCAGATGCAGAAATTGTAGCCTGAGTTGCATGCTATTGCACACCGATCTGTGTGTCATATGGCCAAAGTATTCAGTGAGCTATGTTCATTTTCTTATAGATTTGTTCTTTCTTTATTTCAGAGTGATGATTCTGACATCTGGGATGATACTGCTTTGATAAAAGCCTATGACAAAGCAGTCTCTTCATTTAAGGTTTGTACTGTTCTCTAATTGTGGGTATTCCTTTGTACACGTCTTACATCTTACTAAACTTGGTCATACGCTTTACATTCTGAATCAGTCTTTGTACAATCTCCTTTAGTGACCCTAATAGTAATGTAAGGATCTACATCAAGGGTGGCTCAACCTCAAATTGAAAGTAGGAGTTTTGGTGCATTTTAAGAGTGCACCACACCCGCAAGATATAATAGAAGTCTATGGCAAAGAGTAGCTAACCCACAGGAAATCCTCAGGTGCACTGCGCTGCAACCACAGTATGGGTTAACTACAGCACATTATTGTGAAAGCAGACTTGTAGGGGACACAGGACAGTAAGGGCTAGTTTAAATTTTTTGTTTGGGAGTCAGTAAAATCCCACAGCTGAGATGTTTTTTTTTCACAACATCCACAAAGCAGTCCCCCCCCCCCCCCCCCCATCACTGGGGTTGCCGTGATGACTCCACTCCATGCTCCAGGGGTCCTGTGTGACTTCCCTGTCAGAACTTTACACTTGGACAGGAGGGGTGGCTTATGCAGAAACCGATCCCCTCTCCATTTTCCTCTTGCAACCACTGAAAGCTGACTTCACCTCTCCCGTCCGCTTGCTTTCAGCAGCTGTAGGAGGAACATGCTCTTTATGCTGTTCAAAATAAAACATTTTAAATTCTGAACCATTTAATTTCATTGTTGCCTGGGACCAGATACCAAATCACTTAAGTGGCCCTTGCTCTTCAAAGGAACAAACCTTTTAATTTGTATCCCACTGGGCTCACACTGCATAATTGTTTGTAGATTTAAGAAGATTGTACAAAGGGTTCATGATGCATAAGGTCAGCTTTAAAGGTACACTCCACCTTTCATACCATGTTTCTTGTCACACCCATATTTACACCAATCTTGAATCACTGGGTTCTTCTTTATGCAGGTTTCTGTTTAGCTATTCTCGCACAGTCATACATTCACAGAGGGGATTTATGAATGGAAGACTACAATTCTCATCTGGCACTACAACAGAGGGACTTGAAAATCCCAATAAAGCTCAAGTGTGGCGATATTGTTGCAATTGTAGTCTATTGACTGCTTTCTCTATCTTCCATATTGGTAGATCTGTACCACTGTATGGACCTGGGACTGGGGGGGGGGGGGGGGGATTTCTGTAGGAGACTATGCATTCCACCTAAGAATGTCTGATCATGGTTCAAATGCTCTGCAGGCTTAAATTCAAACGTAGCACTACCCCCATAGGGACTGCTGGTAATCTGGTTATTCCTTAATAGTATAGAGACTGTTTATCCCCACAAGCACACAGTCCATACACACCGGCTTCAATAACTCAGTCTAAGGGATGTCTTTTTGATATTTATTGCTTACAGGAGAGGGGTTAGGGCATGGGACACTACAAAAAATGATTGTCAATAGCAATGAGAGGATGATCTTCTCCCTAGTCTTTCTCTGGAGGTAACTGGGGATTTTGAACATTCTAAGCCCTCAGAGATGTAGACCATAAGGCCGTTCTTTGTGGCATCTCGTTACCTTGTGCCACTGCATAACTATTGCTATCCAATGTGATTTCCAGAATGCTGCACAGTAACAGGGGGATATTTTCCTTTAGGCTCACACTCCAGGATTCTGATGAGGATAGGGGAATGGACAGCACTCTGAGGCTATATATATCCTCCAGACCAGATTGCTTGTGGTGAAGCCCTACAGCTGGCTCCCCATCCCAGCCCTCAGCCCTTACACCGCTGAGTGCTCAAGAACAGCTACACAGTCCATGGGCTGCCTCAGAACAGCAGCCCCCTGGGGCTTTGGAAACCTCCCGGGAAGAAGGAACAACCCCAGTCTGTGATTCTGACTATCACTTCCCCAGCCACCTGCTGGACACTTCTCTCCATGGGTTGGCCAGGCCTTGCTTAATATTAAGGATGGTCATTTGATCCTCCTTCCCTATTTTCGTAAAGTATCTTCCAAGGCAGGGGAAACAATCAAACTCCCACACTGTGACACCCCTTATATTTATTATATATATATACATTTTTCTAAAAGTTGGACATTGTCTTTAATACAATTTAATGTATCAGCAGACCTTGCATTTAGTATCTGCAAATGCAGGTAGTTTGTTTTTTTGTATAGACTTAATTTAATGCCAAGCACAGAGTAACTTTATACTCTTTTGGTGAGGCTTCACATAGACGTTTCTTACCCCTGCCCTGATAAATTCATCATCCTAACAACTGGCTACTTGACCCAACATTGTACAGCAAAAGGAGGCAGTCAGTTTCCGAACCCTCAGAGAAACGAGCCTATTCTGTTGTCTATCTTCAGAAACAGTCTTTTTACTTTTGAAAGTGCTTACCTATGTTCAGTAGCTTTGCAGTATGGTAGTTCATAATATCAGGTATCTATTTCTTTTTGGTATCGTGGAAGGCTTAGCATTGGCCCCAATTGTCCGCTCACACATTTGATTACCACCATCCAAATAGTGGTTTGTTCACCATATATTTAGAAAAATTTAGAAATTATGGTCTGTTTGGCATAAACCCACTTGCTCACCTGTTAGGTTTCTCATGAAATCAAGTTATTCATTATAGCTTTTAGCTGAATTTTGTTTTTGTTTGATTTTTTTTTTTTTTCTGTAAAAACAATTTTTACACATCTTTCACCAAACTTGCACATCTGTTGCTGTGTTGTTTAGTTCTCTGCTATGGTATGTCATCATAATTACAAGCTGTTTGAAAAGCATGCTGGGCTTTCTAATACAAAAGCTGATCTACCTTTTATGCTTTCCTGCAGGCATTCTTACTCTACCATTTATGATGTCTTTCTTACAGAGAAGAGGACATGTGTCTGTCCTCTGACTCTTTCAAGTTTATTTTTAGCACGGTATCTGTAGGGAAGGGATTTCATATAGCTAAGAACTTGCTTGGAGTTCTGCCTGTTGGCATCACGTGTTATTTTTTTTATATTTACCTGCTTAAAATATATTTTATATGAACTATTTTAGTATTGAAAGAAAATGTTTCAAATGCCTTTAATGTGTTATATATTAGTCTTGATGGAAATGGTGAAGACCACTGCCTCTGCATTAAAAAGCAATTGTGAGATTATTTTGTCCAAGTGTGACATGATGAGGCATGGATCTGAAAAAAGTTCTACTTTTAGAAAGCTCTGAAGAATGGAGATTGTACCGTGGGACCTCCATCACCAGAGAAGTATACCAATCCAAAAAGAAAAAATAACAAGAAGAATAAAGGCAGGAAGAAGAACAATGCACTTCCCGTGAAAAAGGTACTGCAAAGATACTTTATTCGCCTGTTTAATCTTTAGTATTGGTTCAGAATTGTAGCCTTTTATATTTTAAGCTTCTTAATGTAATGAAGCACAATAAAGCCTTCTTAAAACAAGGTATTCACATGTCTCATTCCATTACATATTGTAAATATACAGAGTAAGCAGACTGTGCTTTTGTAATGAAGTTGTGTACAGCATATATAAAAGCAGTATAATACAATAGGTAGAAATATCCAAGTATGACATATAATATATAAAATATAGTACAGCATGAGATTTTGTTTCACTGTTAATTTAAATCTATATCCAAAATGCACATACATAGGTAATATGATCACTTGCTATATGCTTAGTCATATGGCTTCTGATGTTCATAAATGCATACAAGAAGTTAGTACCCAGAAGAGAGCAATGGGACTGAGAGCAGTATCAGACCCTGGTAAAAGAGAGAAGAGGAGGAAATACTCAACATTTCAGGGGTGAACAAAAAAGGCAGAAGGTTCCTGAGAGGGTTTTTTTCACTCCCAAATGTTGGAGACCTTTATTGCTGATATAGGTCATTCCATCACACATCCTAAAATTTGTTCCTCATTTCAGAGCAGTGGACAGAGCCATGCAAATGATTGTTTTACCTTTCATTAGCCAGATGACTGCTGGTGCAAATATAGCCTAATATTATAGATTTATTCCAAAATGCATACCATTGTTTCAGGCTATTTGGCAATCATCAGTACAATGTACAGAAACCATGGCTTCTATCTAGTTGGGCTTGGGGCCCAACGAGACTGTTGAATTTGTAAAGGTTATGGTGTAAGGGAACTAAAGTAATAAAAAAAACAATCCCTCCTGCTGAATGCTGAATCAGTACATAGTAAAGCCTTCTTAAAATAATAGGTATTTCTAAGCATGGGTCTACACCAGATTGTGGAATGATCACGCATAAAACTGACCGAATCCTGTGACAAACTCCAATTTTCCGTACTTTTTTTTTTTTCTATTTCAGAATTGTTTAATAAATTTACATTATTTAAGGAAAATAGTATAAGTAAGATATATTCTCTTGAATTTATTCTAAAACAGATCCTAAAATGAGGATTATTATTCTTGTTTTGGGGATAAATAATGGAATGAGACATGTAAAGTTTCTACTGTTCCGCTCATAGTTTTGAGTGAGGGTTTTTAGATTGCATTAGTCCAATCTTACCATAACCTGTATGGTTGTACTGTCTCGTTAATGTAGTCATTCATTTTACATTGCAAATTTGTATTGGTTCCTTATGGGCTCAGTTCTTGTATATCCTTTCTTTTAAAGTGGAGAATTGGAGACTCGTGCAATGCCATTTGGTCAGAAGATGGCAATCTTTACCCAGCTACTATTTCTTCTATTGATGCAAAAAGGGGAACATGTATTGTTGTGTATACCGGCTATGGCAACAACGAGGAGCAAAATTTGACAGACTTGCGTTTCCCTGACAGTTCAGAAGCAGATAGTGATCAAAAAGATCAAGTACAGGTAAGAGTTTTCTTTTTAGGCTGGTTGTAAATGAGGCAGGATTAAAGCTCTAGCACACAGTTTTGATGAACTGTGTACCAAAGCCCTGAAAGAATGTTCATGCACTTTCAAATAATTATCTGCACAGCCACAAAAAAAAGCTCCAGTAATATGATGATAGCACTGAGCTCATCATACTCGGCTATAGGAGTAGGGCCGGAATGTATACTACACAACCCCATATTCCTCTAGTCCCCAACATAATGGTAATTAAGTGTGTAACCTGATGTAAGATTATTGCTGTATTTACGAGGCCTAAGCTTGCTATGTTTAAAGATTATTATTGTTATTATTATGATGTACATATGCAACACGTTAATGTTGTAATGTTGTTGCAAGATCATCTTAATACAGTCCATACAATCTACTTTAACCAGTTTACGACTGCCCTATAGCAGATGTACTGCTACAAGGCGCCTGCTCTGCAAAATTGTGTGGGTTTTTTTTTTTTTTTACATTTCCTGGTTGCACGCACTCTCGGCGTGCCACTTCTGTTGTGATTAGTCACAGCAGAAGCCGATCAGCGTGTGCCGGCCAATGGATGACTGCCAAGACATGCCGATTGGTGAGGGAGAGAGACAGAACACAGCTCTGGCTATGTAAACAAGGCAGAGCTGTAACCTGTCAGCGGCAATGTGCTGGATTTTGTTTCCCTGCAAAACTCCATATGGTAAACACAAAATCACTGGTTAAGCACACAATTAACCCTTTGATCGCCCTAGGTGTTTAACCTCAACCCAGCCAGTGTCATTGGTACAGTGATAGTGTATATTTTTAGCTTTGATCACTGTATTAGTGTTACTGGTTCCCACAAAGTGTCAGTTATCAGATTGTCTGCTGCAGTATCGCAGCTCCACTTTAAGTCGGTTATCGCCGCCATTATGAGTATAAAACTAAATAAAAATTCCAGTGTGTATATACCATAGTTTGTAGATGCTATAACTTTTGCGCAAACCAATCAATATACGCTTATTGGGATATATTTTTTTTACCAAAAATATGTAACAGAATACATATTAGCCAAAATTTATGAAAAGAATGAGATTTAAAAATCTTTTATTGTATATTTTATAGCAGAAAATAAAAAATGTTTTTGTATTTTTTTTTTTTTTTAACCACTTGAGCCCCAGAGGATTTACCCCCCCTTAATGACCAGGCCTTTTTTTGCTGTTTGGCGCTGCACTAATTCAAATGATAATTGCGCGGTCATGCAATGCTGTACCCAAACAAAATTTACGTCCTTTTTTTCACACAAATAGAGCTTTCTTTTGGTGGTATTTTATCACCTGTGCGCTTTTTATTTTTTGCGCTATAAACAAAAAAACCACGAAAATTTTGAAAAAAAACCAATATATTTTCTACTTTCAGCTATAAAAAATATATCGTAAACTCAAAGTTAGTCATAAATTTAAGCCAAAATGTATTCTGCTACATGTTTTTGGTAAAAAAAATCCCAATAAGTGTATATTGATTGCTTTGTGTGAACGTTATAGCGTCTACAAACTATCGTATAGATGCTGTAATTTATGCCTTTCTTTGCTATACAGCGCTGCACTAACTCAAATGATAATTGTGCGGTCATGCAATGCTGCACCCAAACGAAAATTACGTCCTTTTTTTTCACACAAATAGAGCTTTCTTTTGGTGGTATTTGATCACCTGTGCGCTTTTTATTTTTTGCGCTATAAACAAAAAAAACACAAAAATTTTGAAAAAAACCAATATTTTCTACTTTCAGCTATAAAAAATATATCGTAAACTCAAAGTTAGTCATAAATTTAAGCCAAAATGTATTCTGCTACATGTTTTTGGTAAAAAAAATCCGTGCATTAGCGGGCAAACTGGCGCTATCTAGGAGGGGTGCTAACACTATCGGAAGTCACCAGTGACACTAATACAGTGATCAGTAAAAATCGGTTCACTGATCAGTGACACTGGTGACAGGGCAGTGAAGGGGTTAACTGGGGGGGGAGATTAAGGGGTTAAATGGGATTACTGGTGTACTAGCGGGCAATCTGGCGCTATCTGGGAGGATCGCTAACACTATCGGAAGTCGCCAGCGACACTGATACAATGATCAGTAAAAATCGGTTCACTGATCAGTGACACTGGTGACAGGGCAGTGAAGGGGTTAACTGGGGGGGGGGGGATTAAGGGGGTTAAATGGGATTACTGGTGTACTAGCGGGCAATCTGGCGCTATCTGGGAGGGGCGCTAACACTATCGGAAGTCGCCAGCGACACTGATACAGTGATCAGTAAAAATTGGTTCACTGATCAGTGACACTGGTGACAGGGCAGTGAAGGGGTTAACTGGAGGGGGGGGGGCGATCAGGGGGTTAGACGGGATTACTGGTGTACTGGCGGGCAATCTGGCGCTATCTGGGAGGGGCGCTAACTCTATCGGAAGTCGCCAGCGACACTGATCAGTAAAAATCGCTTCACTGATCAGTGACACTGGTGACAGGGCAGTGAAGGGGTTAACTGGGGGGGGGGGGGATCAGGGGGTTAAATGTGTCCTAGAGCAGTGGTTCTCAACCTTTCTAATGCCGCGACCCCTTAATACAGTTCCTCATGTTGTGGTGACCCCCAACCATAAAATTATTTTCATTGCTACTTCATAACTGTAATTTTGCAGTGGGAGGAGTAGTGCCATGTCATTGGTGTCAGTGGAAGGAGTAGTGCCCCATCACTGATGTCAGTGGGATGAATAGTGCCCCATCATTGGTATCAGTGGGAGGAATAGTGCCCCATCACTGGTGTCAGTGGGAGGAATAGTGCCCCATCACTGATGTCAGTGGGAAGAATAGTGCCCCATCACTGGTGTCAGTGGGAGGAATAGTGCCCCATCACTGGTGTCAGTGGGAGGAATAGTGCCCCATCGTTGGTGTCAGTGGGAGGAATAGTGCCCCATCATTGGTGTCAGTGGGAGGAATAGTGCCCCATCGTTGGTGTCAGTGGGAGGAATAGTGCCCCATCGTTGGTGTCAGTGGGAGGAATAGTGCCCCATCGTTGGTATCAGTGGGAGGAATAGTGCCCCATCATTGGTGTCAGTGGGAGGAATAGTGCCCCATCATTGGTGTCAGTGCGGCGAGTAGTGCCCCATCACTGGTGTCAGTGGGGGGAGTAGTGCCCCATCACTGGTGTCAGTGGGGGGAGTAGTGCCCCATCACTGGTGTCAGTGGGGGGAGTAGTGCCCCATCACTGCTGTCAGTGGGGGGAGTAGGGGGGGAGTAGTGCCCCATCACTGGTGTCAGTGGGGGGAGTAGTGCCCCATCACTGGTGTCAGTGGGGGGAGTAGTGCCCCATCACTGGTGTCAGTGGGGGGAGTAGTGCCCCATCACTGGTGTCAGTGGGGGGAGTAGTGCCCCATCACTGGTGTCAGTGGGGGGAGTAGTGCCCCATCACTGGTGTCAGTGGGAGGAGTAGTGCTCCATCACTGGTGTCAGTGGGAGGAATAGTGCTCCATCACTGGTGTCAGTGGGAGGAATAGTGCCACATCATTGGTGTCAGTGGGAGGAATAGTGCCCCATCATTGGTGTCAGTGGGGGGAGTAGTGCCCCATCATTGGTGTCAGTGGGGGGAGTAGTGCCCCATCATTGGTGTCAGTGGGGGGAATAGTGCCCCATCACTGGTGTCAGTGGGGGGAGTAGTGCCCCATCACTGGTGTCAGTGGGGGGAGTAGTGCCCCATCACTGGTGTCAGTGGGAGGAATAGTGCCACATCATTGGTGTCAGTGGGAGGAATAGTGCCCCATCATTGGTGTCAGTGGGAGGAGGAATAGTGCCCCATCATTGGTGTCAGTGGGGGGAGTAGTGCCCCATCATTGGTGTCAGTGGGAGGAATAGTGCCACATCATTGGTGTCAGTGGGAGGAATAGTGCCCCATCATTGGTGTCAGTGGGGGGAGTAGTGCCCCATCATTGGTGTCAGTGGGGGGAGTAGTGCCCCATCATTGGTGTCAGTGGGGGGAGTAGTGCCCATCATTGGTGTCAGTGGGGGGAGTAGTGCCCCATCATTGGTGTCAGTGGGAGGAATAGTGCCCCATCATTGGTGTCAGTGGGGGAGGAATAGTGCCCCATCACTGGTGTCAGTGGGGGGAGTAGTGCCCCATCACTGGTGTCAGTGGGAGTAGTGCCCCATCACTGGTGTCAGTGGGAGGAATAGTGCCACATCATTGGTGTCAGTGGGAGGAATAGTGCCCCATCATTGGTGTCAGTGGGAGGAATAGTGCCCCATCATTGATGTCAGTGTGGTGGAGGGGAGAATAGTGCCCCATCGTTGGGGTCAGGGGGGGGGAAATAGTGCCCCATCGTTGGTGTCAGTGGGGGGAGGAATAGTGCCCCATCGTTGGTGTCAGTGGGGGGAGGAATAGTGCCCCATCGTTGGTGTCAGTGGGGGGAGGAATAGTGCCCCATCGTTTGTGTCAGTGGGGGGAGGAATAGTGCCCCATCGTTGGTGTCAGTGGGGGGAGGAATAGTGCCCATCGTTGGTGTCAGTGGGGGGAGGAATAGTGCCCCATCGTTGGTGTCAGTGGGGGGAGGAATAGTGCCCCATCGTTGGTGTCAGTGGGGGGAGGAATAGTGCCCCATCGTTGGTGTCAGTGGGGGGAGGAATAGTGCCCCATCGTTGGTGTCAGTGGGGGGAGGAATAGTGCCCATCGTTGGTGTCAGTGGGGGGAGGAATAGTGCCCCATCGTTGGTGTCAGTGGGGGGAGGAATAGTGCCCCATCGTTGGTGTCAGTGGGGGGAGGAAATAGTGCCCCATCGTTGGTGTCAGTGGGGGGAGGAATAGTGCCCCATCGTTGGTGTCAGTGGGGGGAGGAATAGTGCCCCATCGTTGTGGTGTCAGTGGGGGGAGGGAATAGTGCCCCATCGTTGGTGTCAGTGGGGGGAGGAATAGTGCCCCATCGTTGGTATTAGTGACACAAATGATGGGGCACTATTCCTCCCACTGACACCAATGATACTTACTTTGCTGACCCCTGCTCCAGCCTGGGCTCGCTCTCTCACTTACCTGTCAGCTGTCTTCCTTCTCTGGCCGCTCTCCTCTTCACTCGCTCCGGCAGCTCCCTCGGTCTTCTTTGATGTACGCGTGCTGCCGCTCGGCTCCTCCTCTCCAAGCTCCACCTCCTCGCCGGGTGATTGTCCGCCTGTGTGCCTCTCCTGAGCTACAGTTCCGGTGGCCAATCAGCGGCGAGGAGGCGGAGCTGCTGAGCGATCCCGGAGGTGTGGCCAGGTGACAGGAGCAGCAGTGTATCATCCCGCCCACACATCGCCGGAGACAGCAGCGGTGTCTCGGTTCCTAAGACCATCGGAAATATGTGTTTTCCGATGGTCTTAGGCGACCCCTGGGAAATGGTCGTTCGACCCCCAAAGGGGTCGCGACCCCCAGGTTGAGAACCGCTGTCCTAGAGTTTTCTAACTGTAGTGTAGTGCTTGTGTACTCACTTTTTGGATGTCTTCTTCTCTGTCTGGAACGGAATGTGTCCAGGCAGAGAAGAATGACATCATATCCTGCCCTGTGTATTTGTCAACACAGGACAGGATAGGACAGGGACCGATCATGTGATTTCAGCCAGAAATCACTGGCTGAAATCTAATGATTGATCCCTCCTGGATCAAATCGCGTCACCCGCGGGTCGGCGGGAGCGCGGAACCCGTTTTAAAACGTGGTTTTGCGCTCCACTGTCGCCCTGCACACGTATATACACAGTGGCAGGGCGGCAAGCGGTTAATTGTCGGTCTGTTTTTGTTTATAGCACAAAAAAAAAAAAACCCAGTGGTGATCACATACCACCAAAAGAAAGCTCTATTTGTGGGGGAACAAATTACATAAATGCTGTTTATGTACAGCGTTGCATGATCATGTAATTGTCAGTTAAAGTAGTGCGGTGCCGTAGCACAAAATGGCCTGGTCATGAAGAGGGGTAAATCTTTCGGAGGTCAAGTGGTTGTAAAGGCAAAATATTTTTTTATCCTAATGCATTTTCTGCATTATGCTAAAATAAATCCTATAATAAGCACCTTCTCCTGTTTATCATTATCATCAAAAGTAAAAGAAAATCCCAAATTTTTAGTTGTTCCCCAGAAAAGTAATAGGGCGGGAATATTCCAGTGGGGACAATGGGGAATTCCCTGAATTTGCAGAGATTGTCTCACTTCCTGTTTTGGCTATGGGAGAAGAAGCGAAGGTAAATCTCCTGAATGGGACACAGATGGCAAAAAATAAAATGACAGGGGTTATAACCTTCCCTCACTCTATCGAAAATGAAAAACGTTTTGCCTATAGTTCTACTTTAATAGCCTGCTCCCTTATATGTGTATATTGATCATATCACTGTGGAATTGGCTGGAAGTGTGAAGAATTCATACTTCTTGAAATTTTCCACATTTTGTCTTGTTACAGCCAAAAATGTAAATTTATTTTGTTGGGATTTTATGTGATAGACCAACACAAAGTGGCACATTTATTGTAGTGGAAGAAAAATTTATAAATGGTTTTCAAAATGTTTTACAAATATCTGAAAAGTGTGGCCTGCATTTGTATTCAGCCCCCCTGAGTCAATACTTTGAAGAGCCACCTTTTGCTGCAATAACAGCTGCAAGTCTTTTTGGGGATGTCTCTACCAGCTTTGCACATCTAGAGAGTGACATTTTTGCCCATTCTTCTTTGTAAAATAGCTCAAGCTCTGTCAGATTGGATGGAGAGCGTCTGTGAACAACAATTGTCAAGTCTTTCCACAGATTCTCAATTGGATTTAGGTCTGGACTTTGAGACATTCTAACACATGAATATGCTTTGATCTAAACCATTCCATTGTAGCTCTGGCTGTATGTTTAGGGTCGTTGTCCTGCTGGAAGGTGAACCTCTGCCCCAGTCTCAAGTTTTTTGCAGACGAACAGGTTTTCTTCTAAGATTGCCCTGTATTTGGCTCCATTCATCTTCCCATCAACTCTGACCAACTTCCCTGTCCCTGTTGAAGAAAACCATGCCTACAACATGATGCTGCCACCACCATGTTTCACAGTGGGAATGGTGTGTTCAGGGAGATGTGCACTGTTAGTTTTCCGGTCTCATCTGACCAGAGCACCTTCTCCTACATGTTTGCTGTGTCCCCCACATGGCTTCTCACAAACTGCAAACAGATTTTTTTATGGCTTTCTTCTTGCCACTCTTCCATAAAGGCCAGCTTTGTGGAATGCACGATTAATAGTTGTCCTGTGGACAGATTCTCTTATTAATGCTCTCCTTGCCCGCCCTGTCCGTTTAGGTGGATGGCCATGTCTTGGTAGGTTTGCAGTTGTACCATACTGTTTCCATTTTTGGATGATGGATTGATCAGTTCTCCCATGAGATGTTCAAAGCTTGAGATAATTTTTTTATAACCTAGTCCTGCTTTAACCCCTTGGTACCTAAGGGTAAAACAAATATTAATCCCTGAGCACAATTTAGCAACTTTGACATGTGTTAACAAAACCATACATATCATCACTACTTTGTGCATCCAGGTGAATTATACCTTGGGTTTTTTTTTCAGGACAAATTGGACTTTCATTTGGTGGTATCAAAGGAAAACTGGTCCAAAATATTGAAAAAAAAAAAAACAACAACTTTTTTTTAATTTAGCTGTTTACTTCTTGCTACTACCATAACCTACCACCAAAGAGCAGCCCAAAGTAATTTCTCCTGCTCCTGATGATCGCAGTGATACCACATATGTGTATGTTAGTTGTTTGAACCCATAGTACAACCCAGAGAAAATAGTGCGCATTTACTTTTTCTTTTTCTTAATCCTGCCACTAATTGACACTGATACTAATTTAAAATAAAAATAAAAAAATCCTGACCAAAAAAAAAAATACCTCTGACCCTGATCTTGATCTAAACACTAACCCTGGCACTGACCTAGATCAAACCTTTGTTTTTTTTTTTCTCCTCTCTGAAAAGACACAGAGAGATATAATGTATCTCTCTCCTCCATTCAGAGAGAGAAAACACGGGGGTGGGCTTCACAGTGACTGATCACTGTGATAGCCAACCAGAGGCCATCACAGCGATCAGGTGACCCGGAATCAGAAGGTCTGGGTCCCGATCGCTAGAACAGACCCCAGAGCTTTCAGTCAAACCCTGGTCTCTGTGCTGGGAGCGCACTGTGTGGCGCCCTCCCAGCACAAAGACAGGTATGCAAATATGTGGCCCCTCAGAAAAAAAAGCCCAGTCAAGTTGGGCTGCATATTTGCGTATGGGGGGTTAAACTTCTCCACAACTTTATCCCTGACCCGTCTGGTGTTTTCCTTGGCGTTCATGATGCTGCTTGTTAACTAATATTCTCTAACAAACCTCCTGAGGGCTTCACAGAACAGCTGTAATTTATATTGAGATTAAATTGCACATCAGGGGACTCTATTTACTAATTAGGTGACTTCTGAAGGCAATTGGTTCCACTAGATTTTAGTTAGGGGTATCTGAGTAAAGGGGACTGAGTACAAATGCACACCACACTTTTCAGATATTTATGTGTAAAAAATTTGGAAAACAATTTATCATTTTTGCTTCCACTTCACAATTATATGCCACTTTGTGTTGCTCTATCGCATAAAATCCCAATAAAATACATTTACGTTTTTGGTTTAACATCACAAAATGTGGAAAATTTCAATTGGTATGAATACTTTTTCAAGGCACTGTATGTGCTGTATTTCTCTGTTGGACAGAGGGGAAAGCGTTTAATACCAGGTTTTCGCTGCTGTCTGTAGCAGTCTTGTGGTCATCTTCTCTCACTTCTTTCCTGGTGACACCTGATCTCATACTCAAAAACCTGACAGAGCATCTAACAGTTCTTTTCACGATGTACAACTAAGGAACAGGTTTTGCCTGGAGGTTAAATTCAAAAAAATATTTTAACTGATTGTTCTTTGCTTCATGTAGTTTGAAAAGGTTCCCACTTTAAGGAGATAATCAACACTTTTTAAGTCCCTTATAGGTCATCAGTTTAGCGTTCTGGAGGAGCACCCGGCTGTGACAGGATGCGGCTTCACAGCCGGGCACCCACTGCACATGTATGAGAAGCGGTGCGCTTTATGAATGGCCCTGTAGTCTTCTGGGACCTGTCACGTGAGGGGGTGAGGACAACTTCCGCCTAGGCGATTGCAGCGGAAGTGGCAGCGAGTACCTGTCAAATTCGGATACCCGCTCCCCAAGGGTGCCAATCCTTAATGGGGAGCAGAGGACAAAGCATTAAAGTGGAACTTCCCCTTTTGGGTGGAGCTCCGCTTTATCTCTAATTTTACATCATCCAAAGCTGTTGGATAGAACTGAGTATAATTAGATGTTGTTAATGTAGTAAATATCTTCGTGTTTTTGAATTACACTTCTATAATACCTTTGCTAATCTTCATTTTGTTCAGGATGTGAATGGTGAGGAGCTCTCAACAGATGACAGTGACAGGTCATCCGGAGACTCAGAAAGCAGAGATCATCGTACTGCAGCTACAGCAAAGAAACACACATTTCCCACCAGTCCCACCCCCCTTCATGCCAGGTTTTGGACGGGTAAGAGTGCAGATTACATAATGGGGTTGATTTACTAAAACTGGAGAGTGCAAAATCTGGTACAGCTGTTATTGGTAGGCAGTCAGCTTCTAATTTCAGCTTGTTCAATTAAGCTTTGACAAAAAAAAAGCTGATTGGTGTCTGTGAAGAGCTGCACCATATTTTTCACTTTACAGTTTCAGTAAATCAACCCCAGTGTAACAAATGGTGAGCTCTAATTTTCAGACTTGACACTCCGTTATGCATTTTTTTTTTTTGGACAGCTAGACAGGCTCTGTTGCTTGAATGGCAGGATCAGTTCATTTATATAGAGGAATGGAGCTGTAATTTAAACACAGCAGGGCATCTGCAGCAAGAATTTGTTTTGCACAGAGATGCATTTCCATACATTTGTTTTTTAATGTCCATGTCTTTGCATAACACTCCCTAGAGATAATGTAGTCTGTGAGACTGTAACTTCTTTGGAGAGGTAGAACCATGCACTGACATCTGAGATGCAACTCAACTCTTGCCTGAGCCATAGGTTTTAAGCAAAAAAAATGTAAATATACAAAAGATTGACTTAGTTTTTTTTTTTGTTTTCCCTTACATTTCCATGCTTGCATAGCTGTCCATTCACATTGCTTAGTACACAGAACCACCCGGTTGTATCGGCCATCACGCTGGGTCTCACTTGGATATGTAATGTACAACATTGAATGGTTGCTTGATTTGTACTTGTGCAGTAGCAGTGATGATCATTTATGTATTTACAGCCTGGTGAGAAATCTAGTCAAGCAAATCCATTCTTTCCTGGCTGGCCTCCATCATTTCCTCCAGGCCCACCTGTAAGTCATTGTCTTCTCACAGTATAGGGATCATGTATAAAGAGGTGACAAAAGGCATAGTTCTTGAATGTGCCTTCATGGCAGCTTGTTTTATAGAAGGTATTTTCAGCATTTTCTAACCACAGGATATTCCTGAGATGGAGATATAATAAATATCAATAATTTTATCATGCAATAGTCATGCTTTCCAATGATGTTGTTGGCAACAACTGATTGTTAACATTGCAAAATTAGAGGTTTTTTTCCATAAGCTTTTCCTTTTTTACCTATTTATAAGTAAAATAAAAATTTTACATGTGTGGAGAGTGGATATAAAAAGTCTACACACCCCTGTTAGAATGTCAGGTTTCTGTGATGTAAAAAATGAGACCAAGGTAAATTAATTTCAGAACTTTTTCCACCTTTTAATGTGACCTATAAACTGTACAACTCAATTAAAAAACAAACTGTAATCTTTTAGGGGGGGGGGGGGGGGGTAAACATAAACTAAAATAATGTGGTTGCATGAGTTTGTGCACCCTTCTTATAACTGGGGATGTATCTGTGTTCAGAATTGAGCAATCGCATTCAAAATCATTAAGTATTAGTCAGTACACACCTGCCATCATTTAACATGCCTCTGATTAACCCCAAATAAAGTTTAGCTGTTCTAGTAGGTCTTTCCTGACATTTTCTTAGTCACATCCTACAGCAAAAGCCATGGTCTGCAGAGAGCTTGCAAAGCATCAGAGGGATCTCATTGTTAAAAGGTGTCAGTCGGGAGAAGGGTATAAAAGAATTTCCAAGGCATTAGATATACCATGGAACACAGTGAAGACAGTCATCATCAAATGGAGAAAATATGGCGCAACAGTGACATTACCAAGAATTGGACGTCCCTCCAAAATTGATGAAGACTAGAAGAAAACTGGTCTGGGAGGATGCCAAGAGGCCTACAGCAACATTAAAGGAGGAATATCTGGCAAGTACTGGTTGTGTGGTACATTGACAACAATCTCCCGTATTCTTCTTCATATGTCTGGGCTGTGTGGTAGAGTGGCAAAACTTTTACAAAGAAAAACATCCAAGCCCGGCTTAATTTTGCAGAAACACATCTGAAGTCTCCCAAAAGCATGTGGGAAAATGTGTTATGTTCTGATGAAACCAAGGTTGAACATTTTCTGTGCTGTGCACAGGAGATGCCCTCACAATCAGATTTGGAGTGTTTTTGCAAGGAAGAGTGGACAAATATTGCCAAATCAAGATGTGCCATGCTGGTAGACTCATACCCTAAAAAGACTGAGTGCTGGAATCAAATCAAAAGGTGCTTCAACAAAGTATTAGTTTAAGGTTGTGCACACTTATGCAACCATATTATAGTTTTGTTTTTTTTTCACTTCCCTCCATCTAAAAGATTTCAGTTTGTCGTTCAACTGAGTTGTACAGTTTATAAGTTCCATTAAAGGTGGAAAAAGTTCTGAAATTATTTCCTTGTCTCATTTTGTTTACATCACAGAAACCTGACATTTCAACAGGGGTGTGTAGACTTTTTATATCCACTGTTTTCTGGCTAAACATTAAACTAGGCATGCCATAGCTTGCTTTTTATACAAGTTTGTTGTATAAGAAACTTAATTTGTTATTTGTTGTTCCTCTTTATACATTTATCTTTAGTTTTATATTACGTTTACTATTTTGTTATGTTTTTCATTTGGTTTCAGGACCTGCATGGTTAATTTTAAATTTTTTTTTTCCCCATCATCTACACCGTGTAAAGGCCGGTATTTCATGTGTGAATTTTATGCCAACATATCAGCTACCCATTTCAGAAATTCTGTATTATTCCCTGTAGGCTTTCAAATATAAACAATGCAGAAAAGACTAAACTTTGAATGATAAATTATCCTGACTAATCCTAACATGTCCTCCAAAATCCTGGAAATCCGACATTAGAAACTTCCCCATCTCTATAGAGGCATTGAGAAGTGTTCCTTTCAACTGTTGTAGACTTCAGGAAGGTGTTCTCACAGGTGTTAAAGCATAGCAACATAAACTCTCTATCTCAAACATGGATTTGTACTAGCAACGTTTACATAATTTGGACACTCAAGGAAAGCATTATGAAAAGTGTTTTTAGAGCTGAAGTTTAGCTAATAAAATTCATACAACTTTAGTTACATCACTTACTTGTGATGAAGTATTTCCCATCTTGTGCAGGCAACTGAATCCTGGAGAGATCTTCACTGCAGGGATGCCTGCCCTCTTCCTGTTGCTGAACTTCTGGCGCTGCAGTGGTTAATAGCTTCAGGTACAACAGCAGTAAATATGGTCAAACAGGGACATGCCTCCTCCTCCACTGAGAATTGTTCTGTCATTAAGTACACTGCTTGTAACATAAGTGAATGAGGGAGAGTCTGATCAGTCATAGGATTCTCTCCTTCATTCACAAATTAATTTTTACAAGCAGTATAATCAATAAAATAACTGTTCTCAATAGAGAACGATGGAGGGTGTGTGTCCCCGTCAGACAGTCTTTACTGCTATTGTTTACTGCAGGGGTGCTCAACCTTTTCGAGAGCGAGGGCCACTGGTCGCAGGCCACATTGAAATATAATTCAGAATTTAATTTTTTTTATTTTGACTAGTATAATGAACATTTTCCTCCTGCAACCGCTGAATGCCAGCTTCTCCTCCTGGCATTCAGCGGTTGCAGGAGGAAAATGGAGTGGATTGGTTCGTGTATATGCCGCCCCCTCCAGTCGAAGTGTAAAACAATGAGACAGAGAAGCTGCACAGGCTCCATGGAGCATAGGGCAGGGTCGCCATTGTGACCCCTGATGCTACACCAGTGTATGGGGGTGTGTGGTAAAAACCCATCTTATCTATGGGGTTTTAGCCCCCTCCCCCCCAAACTGCAAATGTAGACAAGCTTTAAGGAAAGTTGTGAGCGCTATGAATGAAATAAAGCAGCCAAGCATCAAAAAAGGATACCAAAAAACCTTGCAAAAACATAGAATATAAAGGATGCGGCGCTGTATCACAACTATAATTATGCAAAAACGTCGAAGATATATAGTGATTAGGTGACTAATGTGATCACAAACATTATGTCACAAGCAGAGTAACATGCAGTGCAAAATAAACAGTCTTAGTGACAATCCCTCTCCTTCAAAAGTGCTTCTTCCACGCGGTGATAGTGAGAAGGGTAAGGTTGTGCACTCACCAGATGCACAGTGTAACTGCGCATTTAAAGATGAACTTTTTCTACTGGATCCACTGGTAGCTCCTAAAGGTCAGGTCAGGCCAGATATTCCTCCCCCCGCTGGATGTTGCTGACAATCCACGGTCTCCCTTTTGGGTGGCTCATTCCTGGAGAAAAGGCATTTTTAACAACTTTCCTTCTTGGTCACATGATATCCTTCAGCTCCCAGTGTTTCCCAGCTCATTCCTGGAGAAAATTCCAGGGATGATTTTTCTATAGGAAACACTGGGAGCTGAAGGATATCATGTGACCAAGAAGGAAAGTTGTTAAAAATGCCTTTTCTCCAGGAATGAGCCACCCAAAAGGGAGACCGTGGATTGTCAGCAACATCCAGCGGGGGGAGGAATATCTGGCCTGACCTGACCTTTTAGGAGCTACCAGTGGATCCAGTAGAAAAAGTTCATCTTTAAATGCGCAGTTACACTGTACATCTGGTGAGTGCACAACCTTACCCTTCTCACTATCACCGCGTGGAAGAAGCACTTTTGAAGGAGAGGGATTGTCACTAAGACTGTTTGTTTATTTTGCACTGCATGTTACTCTGCTTGTTACATAATGTTTGTGATCACATTAGTCACCTAATCACTATATATCTTCAACGTTTTTGCATAATTATAGTTGTGATACAGCGCCGCATCCTTTATATTCTATGCAAATGTAAACAAGCCCTTACTGTCATGAGCCCCCTATAAGGCTGTTTTCACAATGATGCGCTGCAGTTTACCCGCACTGCAGGTGCACATGTGGCTTTCCTGCGCTTTTCCGTAGACTTCTATTATATCTTGAGGATGTGGTTCAAGTTCTGAAAGCACACCAAGACTCCTGCATTCAGCAGTTTTGGTGCACATTTAGAAAGCCCACCAAACCCACAGGATATAAGAGAAGTGCGCTTTCCCCTGGTTTGAGGTGGAGGCCACAATAAAGGGCTCAGAGGGCCACAGGTTGAGCACCCCTGGTTTACTGCTATTAAGTCCAGAAGCTGTAACCATTGCGTTGTCAGAAGTTCAGAGCCAGAAAGAGCGAACAGGGCATCTCTGAAGTGAAGATTTGTCTGGGATTCCGCTGCCTGCTCAACCTCAGATATACTTCATCACAGGTAAGTGATGTGAAGCTGTAGATGATTTTTTTTTTTTTTAGCTAAACTTTAACTTCCTCTGAAATGCTTACCTAATGCCTGCTATTCCTGCCAACAGACTATTAGTGCTTTCTATTTGGAGAATATTCAAGCAAAAAATGTAATCGGTTGTTTTATAAAGTTTCTCTTGTGTTTTGCTGTTTAGCTGATACCCCCTCCTCCACCGATGGGCCCTGATATCACAGAAGATGATGAAGCCTTGGGAAGCATGCTAATTGCCTGGTACATGAGTGGCTATCATACTGGTTATTATCTGGTGAGTGTGCATCCTATTGCTCACACTTATGCATTATAATTTATTTTTAATATTACCAAGCAATTTTAAATTTTTAACTTTTATAATAATTAAAAAAAAAAACAAATTGTTTACCCAATAGAACTTAAAGTGAAACTTCACTCTCTGTCAAAATGGACTATTTGTAATCCTTATGCTGCTAGCATTAGTAAATAGATAGGAAAGTATCGTATTGGCTTGTTTTTAAACTTTTTTACATTTCCTGGTTTCCATGCCTAAGCAAATGTCTTATATCCCAGGAGTCTTCAGTAGGGGAGGAGGGGCTTTCTCAGCGATGCAAACCTTCTTCTGTTTGCATGCCTGAGCTAAGGGCAGGTGGTTTCCAGGGCGTTAATGCTACATGAATCATCTGCCCTTACTCAAGATTGCCACAACCAAAAATGCTAGGGTTTTTTTTTTTTTTTTTCTTTCAAAGTGAATTCTCAACAGCATAAAGCATGGAGACATGGATGGGGGCGTTTGTTTTGAATATTAAAAATTGATTAAATAGCATTTTTGGTTTGTGGTGCTCAAATGGAAGTGTAGTTCCACTTTAAACCTTAAAGTAGGTTAAAGTATATGTGAACCCTCACTTGAACACATACAGGTTTAAAATAGAAACTAGAGGCAAAACAAAACATTATGAACAATCCCCCCACCCGCTTCTTCTTTTTTTTTTTTTTTTTTTTTCTTCTTTTTATATGTGATCACATACCCTCTGTCCTCTGCTGCATAAGACGCTCAGAGAGCTAGGTGAGGAGAAACAGCAGAATGCTGGTCTTCCCAGAGAAATGGCTGTGCACGGGGGTCAGGAGGTAGGCAAGGCATGTCAGCACAAGTCTGATTGTTGGAGGAGAGCATTCTGAGTTCTCAGCACAGCTAGAAAACTGACTATGCTGTGCTCTCATGCCTAGTGTGGTCACTTTTTAATAGGAAAGCAGGGGGACTGGCATGAACACCAGGGGTTTCACGCTAAAGCAATAGAAAGAGAAGATACTTTTTCATACAAGTACATGGCACATATCAGGAATATGTAATGTTGGATTTACATATTCTTTAAACATAAAAGGCTATTGTAGGATAGTGATCACATTATATGCCCTGTCATTAACAGCAAAAGTAAGAAAAACTGCTGCTGGTTCGACAGGCAGAGCTTCAGTACTTTCTGGGCATGCCAAATTTTGCCTGTCCTTCCTGCCTCCTGGTGGGACAGTCCCAAGGTATTGGAGCTTGCCTCTAGGACTCTCTGTGACAGCAAAGTTGCCAAGACTGCTGTAGGTATGTGTGCATACATCTGGGTGTCTGCACCTTATACCTGCAGCTTTCTCTTTTTTGGTTTTGATAGGCCTTTTATTAAATTGTATTTCCACTTCTGCAGTCATATTTAACAAACCCCCACTATATGTAAATGTATGAGTAAAAATTAAGCAATGATTTTTAAATATTTTATGTTATGCCATGTAAATGGGAATATGTAACAAATATAAAATAGGTGTTATTCCAATCTGGAAGTGCACTTTAAGATTCCTCTATCTGAAGATTTACACCACAGGATTGGTGCTAATTTAATTTGAAAAGCTTCTTGTCAGTGAGAGATGTCCAGGATCAATGCATAATTAGCAAGCTGTGAGGTAATATTACTAAATAACTCAATTATTATTTCCAGATAAGACTTAGCCTAGGTTCCCGCTAGTGCTGCCGCATAATCATTTTTCATGTGAGTTTTTGTGTATTTTTTTTAGGCATTTTAATGCTTCATGCGTTTTTTTGTAGGAGGAGACTGTATTTTACACACAACTCTGCCAAAAACACACTAAAAATGAACGTACATGCATTTTACATGTGCTTTACTTGCATTTCCATTGATATGGGGCTGAAAATGCATTATGCTGCACCATAGAGAATGTGGTTTCTTTTTGTGTGCATGGCAGTGCCACAGCTGATGCAGGAGAAATTGCACTAGTGTGAAATGGGCCTTAGAGTACATTTACACTTCAACAATTTGATGCAGTGAATTAAACATTATCCTGTTTGCTGCATCTTTGGTTTTGTTTGCATCAAAACACATCCTACATGGGTATAAATAAATACATCTAAAACATGTCTAAACTGAGGTACGATTTTAGCTATGCAAAGTGGAACTAAAGTTAAAACATGCTATGTCTCTTTGGCAGTAGAACAAATTAACTGCTTGTTTGTGGTCTTCTGCTGAATGTACACAGCTCAGCATACATTCCTGACAAGTTGCCAGTGTGCCAGAATGAAAGACTCGCATGTGTGGGATTCATGTCATTCCCGACAGCCAATCAAGAGGCCATAACTTGGCGCCCGATAAAAGCCTGGCAGGAATGATGCCAGGGATCCAACCGTTGCATTTCTGGAATGAAGGAGAGAATACTGCAGACATTAGTTCTTCTTTTGGGGTCCATTTGCTGTCCTAGCTCCCACTGCAGTCTATGTAGTATCTGACATGTACTACAGAGAACATTGTTCCTTTTGATCTAGCTATGTCTGTTTTAACGTCCTATGTTATTCAAAGCTGGCATTTGCTGGCCTGTGTTTTCTGGCTGCTTTCATTGTATTGTCAACAAGCATGACAGTGAGCAGCTTGCATGGATTATTTCCCACCTCCTCTATTTGATTACATTTTCATTGTTTTTTAGGGTTTAAAGCAAAGTCGAATGGAAACTTCATTTGGAAAATATCCACAACCAAAATAGGAAATATAAACATTAGCATGTGAGTATAGAATAATAAATATGTGCCGCGCTCCACTCTATTAATACATATAATAAAATATTCTATAGCTTATGTGTCCAAATTTCAATCTAATAATCAAATGAATATATAATTAATATCAAGTGAAATTTATAATATTGTGAAAAAATTCCAAAAACGGTGTCCACAATACACAAAAAATGTATAAAATATATGTGGAAAAAATCAATCCAAAATCAATTCAAAAAAGTGTCCACTATTAGATACAACTTCTGGAAATAACAACTTCAAACATGGATCCAATGTAATATTGTTATGCGCTCACTTCACAGCCTAACACAAAATTAGGCTAGCACAGCTTTTAGTCCTAAATTGGACTGATGAGACCTTTTCCAATGGTAGATATCCCTCCAGGGTTTAATCAAGAGTAGGTTGTAATATTTCCAACATTCCACCTGGGGTCTCTCTGATTAACTGATCCCTGTGTTGGTTTAAGGATGGATGGATTTCTCCCACTCTCCTGCAGGGGTATACTCCTTCCTTATCCTCTTCTCTTTATTGAGATCACTCTCTGCAAAGAAGGCAGCTGCTCCTTCCTCTCTACAGTCATGTGATAAGCCACATGACAAGGCTATATACAGTGTTTAAATCCACTTCATAGACCTCTACCTTCCCAAATCTGCTCTCAGATTCTTTGAATCTGGCATTGTACAAAAACAATTATTATTGGCAACAGTGTTTGCTCAGCTAAAAGACAGATACCTCCCCTTTTTTTTTTTCTTTTTTGAAAAGAATATAAACAGTGATATATGGAATGCCTTCGTCATGGTAATATGTTATTAGTGTTTAGTTGCCTGTCCTTTTGATCATCATGATTATGAAGAAAGTGATCATTCTTGTACAGGTAAAATTTGTTATTATAATGAGCATTTCCTTCCTTATTCCTTATTATTATTATACAGTATTTATATTGCACCAACAGTTCATTCGGCGCTGTACATTACAATGGGAGACAATACATGAGACGGTACAATAACAATACAGTGCGATACACGAGGGGTTCGAGGGCCCTGCTCCTTGGAGCTTACAATCTAGGAAGGAAGGGATAGTGGTACAGGAGGAGATAGCTGTGGGGAATGGTGTGGTAGGAAGAGTGGAGGAGATCGGCAGTTAGCAGAGGGTAGGGTAGGCTTCCCTGAAGAGGTGGGTTTTTAGGGTGCGCCTAAAGGAGAGGAGAGTGGGTGATAGTCTGATAGATTGGGGTAGGGAGTTCCAGAGGATGGGTGATGCCTTGGAGAAGTCCTGGAGGCGGGCATGGGAGGAGGAGATCAGGGAACTAGAGAGAAGGAGGTCTTGTGAAGAGCAGAGAGTGCGTTTTGGGTGGTATTTGGATATTAGGTCGGTGATGTAGTTTGGGGCAGAATTATGGACCGCTTTGTACGTCAGTGTTACCAGTTTGAATTTGATCCGTTGGGCAATCGGAAGCCAGTGGAGAGATTGGCAGAGGGGGGTGGCGGAAACGGAGCGGTTGGTAAGGTGGATGAGTCTGGCCGCCGTTTTCAGGATCGACTGAAGTGGGGATAGCCTGTGGTGAGGCAGGCCAGTGAGGAGGGAGTTGCAGTAATCAAGTCGTGATATGATGAGGGAGTGGATGAGCTGCTTAGTAGTTTCTGGGATTAGGAACGGGCGTATTTTGGCGATGTTGCGGAGGTGGAGTCTGCATGAGTTTGTTAGCGATTGGACTTGGGACTGGAAGGATAGATTGGAGTCTAGTATGACACCAAGTACTCTGGCTTGCGGGGTGGGCTTGATGGTGGCATGGTTGGACGTGATGGAGAAGTCAGTGGGGGGGGGGGGAGGTGCGCAGGCTGGGGGGAAGACTAGGAGCTCGGTTTTGGAGAGGTTTAGTTTAAGGAAGTGAAGTGACATCCAATCTGATATGTCATTCAGTAGGCTGGTGATTTGGGCAGAGACTGAAGGGGTGAGGCGAGGGGTTGAGAGAGAGATTTGCGTGTCGTCGGCATAGAGGTGGTAGTTGAAGTCGTGAGAGTGTATCAGTTGGCCAAGGGAGGAGGTGTAGATGGAGAAGAGAATGGGCCCGAGGACAGAGCCTTGAGGGACCCCAACATAGAGGGGGAGTGGGGGGAGGTGGTAGTGTTATAGGTAATGCTGAAGGAGCGTTGTGATAGGTAGGATGAGAGCCAGGAGAGAGCGGAGTCTCTGAGGCCAAGGGAGTGTAGTTTTCTTGAGGAGGAGGGGGTGGTCGACTGTGTCGAACGCCACGGAGAGGTCGAGGAGTAGGAGCACTGAATAGTGGCCATTAGCTTTGGCGGTTAGCAGGTCGTTTGTGAGTTTGAGTAAGGCAGTTTCAGTGGAGTGTAGGGGACAGAAGCCGGACTGTAGGGGGTCGAAGAGGTTGTTGAGGTGAGAGCTTAGGCGATTATAGGCTAGGCGCTCGAGTTTGGATGTAAATGGCAGCAGGGAGATGGGTCTAAGGTTGTTCGGGTCGGTGGGGTCCAGGGAGGGCTTTTTAAGTATGGGAGTGGAGGGGAATGCGCCAGAAGAGAGGGAGAGATTAAAGATGTGGGTGAGGGAGCGTAGGATGGAGGAGGAGGGAGATCGTAGGCGTTGTGTGAGGGGACAGGGTCGAGGGGGCAGGTGGTGAGGCGGGCTTCAGAGAAGACCTTAGTGACCTCCTCGGTGGTGGTGAGGTTGAAGGAGTGTAGTGTTGAGGGGGCTACTGTGTGAGGGATGTTTGATGGGGTTAAATGGATGTTAGATGGGGTGGAGGTCTGAACAGTGGTGAGGCCAAGGGGGAGGGGTTTTGAGGGGGTTGCTGTGTGAGAGGAGGTAGGTGGGGTGGAGGTCTGAGCAGCAGCGATGTCCCTGTGAATAGTGTCAATCTTGTTTTTGAAGTGATTGGCAATCTCGAGGGCGGTGTATTCTGGGGTTGTGCTTGGCTCCAAGGCTGAGCTGCAACTTCCAAATGCCCAAATCCTGGAAAGAAGATAATGAACTGATGTGAGTGGTTCCTATTCATGTGATCTCCAAAACAGAATAGTCTGATTTTTCTCAGCTTTGTCTTTTTGGAATGATTTTAATATTGATCCATTGCTGGGTCTCCGCAGACTTAGTATGGTGTCAGAAAATGAGCCATACACCCTCATCTTTTTTGTTTTGGGGCAGCCTTAAAATTTTTGGATTTCCTGATACTTTGTTTTAGTGACGATGATCACCAGTACAAACAAGGGTCACAGACAGCAATAACGTTACAGGGTCTCGCCCTACCTAATTTTATTAAAAATAAACAAAGTTTTGACTATACATATGCTTAAAGCTTATACATATTTGAATAATTAGGTTAAATAGTATAAATAATTAAATGTGTGTTGTTGCTGTTTGAAAATCAAAATTAAGGCACATATTCCACAACCCATTGTTACCCCGGGCCTTGACAATCCTGGCCAGTTTGCATGGTGGTCAGCCCATGGCTTCAATGACGTGCACTCCATGCTCCCTGCTACTACGGATACTCACTTTCGTGACTTTGCGTTCTTCACAAGATATCCCGTTGAGGGAACATTTTAGCTACCTCCAACTCCATCACTTTCTTACTACATTGTTACGAGCCCATTTGGGTCCCTATAGGCTGACTCCCTTCGAAAGTCTTTGCAGGCACAGGCCTCATGTGCCAGACTTGATCTCCCTTGTCTACTCCACTGTAATTTCTTAAAGGGCTCCCCCGCTTTACTCCTATCATCAGCAGTGGCAATCGGAACTCGGTTGTCTAGATTAGCAAGATCATGACTCAAGCATTGTCTAAATGCTCGAGGAATGTTGTTATACTAGAAAATGCCTACAAGGTCCTTTTATAGATGGTATTATACGCCTGCCCGACTGGCTCGTTTTATTCCCTCATATTCTTTGACTTGCTTTTGGGATCGTATACAAATAGGTACCGTGGCCCATATTTGGTGGACCTGCCCCAAGGTATGTAGACTATGGATTAGGGTCTATGCCAGGGGTGGGCAAACTTTTTGACTTGAGGGCCGCAATGGGTTCATATATTGGACCCGGGGGCCGGACCAAGAGTAGATGAATGATGTGTATGTGTCATCCATAGTAAGTATAGTAATATTCCCCCATAGTAAGCATAGTAATTCATCCCCCATATAGTAATTCATCCCCCATATAGTAATTCATCCCCCATATAGTAATTCATCCCCCATATAGTAATTCATCCCCCCTATAGTAATTCATTCCCCATATAGTAATTCATCCCCCATATAGTAATTCATTCCCCATATTATTTCATCCCCCATAGTACTATTCCCCCCCAAGTAGTAAGCCAAGTCCCCCCTGTGTCAATTCACTTACCTTTGCTCCGCGCGTTCCTCTCGCCGTGTTCCCGGTCTTCAGGGCGGACTGTGAGAGGAGCCTAGCTCTCCTCACGTTCGTCACGCTGCCCTGCCTACACACATCCTGACAGCCAATGTATCCCGCGCCGTTCCGGTCTTCAGGGCGGACTGTGAGAGGAGCCTAGCTCCCCTCACGTTCGTCACGCTGCCCCACCTACATCCTGACAGCCAATGTATCACGCTCCGCGGGCCGGATTAAAAGGTCCGCCGGGCCGTAGTTTGCCCATTGCTGGTCTATGCCCTTCTCCGTACTATGCACCGATATTAAGCACACACCGATATTAAGCATAACCCATATGAGGCACTATTATTTAAACCACTAAGTAGGCCTACTCCGTCCTGAGCGGCAGTTAGCATCACATCTATTTATGGCTACCAAACTGACGATCGCGAGAGCTTGGAAAACCCCTCTTCTTAGCTTTGAGGTCATTAAGAATTGGATGAATTTTATAATGGTTAATGAGAAGCTAGCGGCCATGCTGTTAGACACCCACACTAAGTTTCTGCAGATCTGGCGTCCTTGGATTGATGTGGCTCAACCGTCTAGATTTGATCAGACCCTCCTGTCAATATAAGATTTTCCT